GAGGGTTGACAATAAAAAGGTGATATGCGAAAGCTATCGACTGAAAGAGAATTACTAGTGTTGGGGAAAAGGAACTAAAATAGAAGGGGTTTAAGGGGGGACTTTAGAGGAAAATAAGTTAAAACATCTTTTTTAAAAAGTAATTTGCTATTATTCCAAATATCAATAGTTATTTTGGAATTTTTCAACACTGGTTAACAATCGAATTCATAATATGTTAGCGTAATTCGAGGTTCATAGTGGGTTCAGCCAATGAAGTCTCGTTGGTGGGGGGGTCCACGTGGATCGAGGGGGGTTGCGGAAAGGGACGGTGTCGGGGCAAACAAAGAACGGCGGCGGCGGCGGCGGGGGCGGCGGTGACGGTGGTGACGGCGGGGACGGCGGCGGTGTCGACGGAGGACCGGAGCCGGCGGGCGAGAGCGTGGCGCTGGGCGCGGGCAGAGGGGAGGGGGAGGCAGCCGGGCGAGTCGGCCGAGGAGAATGGGGTGGAGGGGGCGATGCGCGTGCCGGTGGCGCAGTCGCTTGCGCGCTCGGAGGCGCGGGGGCGGGCTGCTGTGCAGGTGGGAAGCCCCAGAGGGAAAGCGGAACGCCGCCGACTCCGGAGGGAGCTGGAGGCACGGCGGGGGCAGACCGCGGAGCGGCAGCGGCGGGCGCAGCACTCGTCGGTAGTGGCGGTGGGTTGGGAAACGACGTCGGCAGCGGCGGTGGGTTGGGAAAGGACCACAGCGGCATTCTTCGTTTTCGTTGACTCGTCGACCCCCCCTTTTTGTGCACGGCGGTCTGCCATGCACGCCGTTCACACAAAAACACGCCATTCACACTTCGCCACAATTGAGACCCCGGGGGGGGGCCCAATGCATATGACAGGGCGGGACTCCCGGGCCTCCCCTGTCCGGGGCCCAGGAGGCGCCTTTTTCCAAAGAAGGGGGGGTAGCAACCTTTTTTCGGGGGACAATTTTAATTTCTCGAGACGTCCGCATTTGGCCCTGAACGTGATGTGGCCCATAAAGGCGTTGATTGGGACCCCCCCCCCCTCCCCATAGAATGCCCCCCCCCCCCCCCGCAGTTGGTGGGCTAGGAGTAGCCGCCAGGGAGAGCCGATTTTGCCCCCAAAGTTGTGAAATCGAGGCGAAAGTCCATTATCTGGGAATACTACTGGCAACTGACGGAGCAGGCGCTAGTCGCACAACGTAACTCGGCTCCTGTCCCCCAGCCCCACAGCACACACACAGACCTGGTCTGTGTGACGATCTGCAGCGTCACACAACCAAACGCCGATGAGACGCAATACATGGCACGATGCCGGCGGAGAGTAGCGCCGCGCCGACCGATCGTTGGGCGATTCATTCACCCCCTCTTCGTGATTCTTGTTGGCTCTCAAAAATCTCTCCCCCCCCTTCTCCATTCACGAGAGAGATGCGTTCCGGGCGGGGATCTGGGTGCCGAGCGAGGCCCGGGCACCTACCTACCTAACTGTTCTGTCTCCACCCAAACCGACTGTCCCCGCCCCGCCCGGGTAAACTTAGTTCGCCCGCTGAAAGGAACCCAACCAATCAATCAATCCATGTGGTAAGGATCTGTGCCGAAGCGTGGGTCCGGGCACCTAACTGTTCTGTCTCCCCAACCCAAAACTGCCGCTCACATATATTTGGTGCCCCTGGTGGCATAGCAGGTGGGGGAACGGAAGGGATACAAGTTGCATAAACCGCGACCGTTACCCATTTATTTGGTGTTGCTGAGCTCGGTCCCGGAGCCTCAAGTATTGCCGAGGGTCAGCCCACCTGTATGTGGGGCCCCTGTATATGTCAACCACGGACCCGGCCGCCTGCCCCACTAGCGGTATGCCGACGTCGGCCACGCCGCCGGTGACGGGAGTGGTCAAGCGGCAGCGGCGGCGTAGGCACGACGCCGCGTTCAAGCTGAAGGTGGTCCAGGAGGCGCTCAAGCGGCCGGTCGGCTGGCGGGTCAAGCCCACCTGCCGCGAGTTCCCCGAGGTCGACCCGGTACGAGACCTGACCGAACTCCCCCGCCCCGTTCCCTCTCGGACCCCCCCCCCCCCCCCC